ATAATTGCAGATACACGATTACGCAACTTTTTCGGCAAGGTCAAAGCGTAGTCTAGTACTTTGATATGGTTTTCCTTTATTGCGGTCTCACAATTTTTTTCGATGCTGTCCAAAAATTCTCTCCAGTTTTCGGTTTCCATTTTAGTTCCCACCTACACACTCTACTTCACTCCAAATTATTTCAAGACGTAATGTTGTGTTAATTAAAAAACGCATAAATAAAAAATTATAAAAATGTAAAATTACAAAAACTTCAATAAAAATAATTACATTTAATATGAAATATAATTTTACTTTTTAAACATATTTTATTTGTATTTTTTCCAAAGTCAAAGAAAACTTGTTTTTCTATTGTTATGGCAATGTGCTTTATACAAAATGCGCAAGAAACAGGGTTGATTTTATTGAAGGATACTTAAAGTGCAGAGCTTTAAGCTTTGCAAGTCTTCGTTTCCAGTTTAGTCAAGACACGCACCAGCTATTCATACTGCTCCAAAGCTCTTTTCATCCTTTTGCGGTAGTCCTCAGAAAGATTTCTTTATTTAATTTCGAAAAAGTGTTTCCTTCCATGACATTTAATACCATAAAGCACACAGACCAATCTAAAAAGAAGCTTTTGTAACTATCCAGTGATTCCCAAATCATTTTAAAAAATTCCTGATATCACATAAAATTTAAATAATTTATGTTATAAATAAAAAAAGATATCATTTAATTTTCGAATTATAACATATACTTGTTTTTTCACGAATATATTTTTTTACTTCAAATCTTTTAACGTGAAAGACGATAAAAGTGTATGAATCTTGTTATATATTAATCCCTTATTACTAGACCAGAAACCTCTCTAACAATAGAACGTGAACTGTGGATATGACTTTCAACTTAATTTGGATTCGTAAATCCATTATACAGCGAAATCATAAAGGAAGCCAAAAAGATTGTGTGAAATCAATAATTAATGAATTATTAATAAAGAGTTTCCAAAAGAGTTTGACTATTCATTGTAATGGAAAACTCTTATCTGCAAAAGATGGACTACAATAATAAAATTTAAAAATAATTTTCTTAAAAAATTATAAATACAACAAATAACAAAACAAGATCAGTTAGTGATAAATCAATATATTCATATTTCTATGTACCAGAGGCGAGGCGTCAAATGGCTCAGAGTGTTCACTGAACACCTTAACAAAGCTTCCTTTTTAGATCTTTTTTTTTATTAGGTAAATAATCTCGCTATTTTGTTACTTAACATTTTTTATAATAGCTGTTCCAAACATAAACACAAAACGTACAATACAAACAAAATCACACATATGTTAGTTACACCCAACATTACTTATAATTAATATAAGAGAAAACACATTCCTATTAAAATATACTAAGGTTCAGAATAAAAACTGCACCGCGCTGCTTACAAAGCATGCAAATGAAATAACATTCACATTGGGACTATGTTCAATATTGAATACACAACACAAAACATACAAACAAATATAAAAATAATAGAGAAAACACGCCCTGCATATTACGTACATATTTGTACGTAAAATAATCATAACTCTTAAATTAATGCGTGCGAGAGGTTCAATAAAAAAGTGAACCTCCAATGTTATGCAAAGTAAATACAAAAGAGAATAGAATTGACTGAGTGAAAATCGCTTTACATTTGACGAGAGGTTCAATCGACCAAATTGAACCCCAAGTTCATAAAAAGCGTGCAAATATAATCAAAGTCACGGTTGCCGTTTTATATGGGCAAATGGTTAAAAAAAAAAATGAACCGCTCATAGTAAATACAAAGTAAAAGAGTAAATGAATGCATGACAGTGTCTTACTCTTATGTTGAGGTTGAAAATAAACCCAAAATAAAGCCATTATTGTAATTTTATACTAGCAAATATAAAAGTAAAGAAAAAAATTAAAGAAATTTGAAGTGAAAAATAATATTTAGAAATGGATAAATGTGTGATTAAAGATTTGATTCAGATATCTTTTCTTAAACGATCTTTTGAAAAAAAGATTCATTTTAATTCATAAAATGAATAGACCAACTCCAGATATGTGGAATTTGGTACCTGATGTAAAAATGTCGAAAACTGTGGTGGTAAGTCGACGTTTTCCTACAGCTATTTACCATAAAAACTAGTGGATCACAGGCTGCGAACATTTAAATAAATTGTTTTGATGGTCTTGTATGCTATTTGCTTGTGGAAAGGACAAAACTCAGGAGTAGGGGGAATATGTTATAGTTGGAATTCTGTTTTGATCAAATTGTGTTCACCTAGCCAAAAAACTAACGTCACGCTACTGCTAAGTACATACATATATAGTGTATTGGTTACTACAGTATTTTCTATAAAAAAAGGCAAGCTTTATGATAACTTGAGTGGAAAAGCTAACATAGGTACATCGAAATGATTTTTATAGGTATATGTAAAAACTAGGCTAAAATACATTCGTTTGATATATAAAATACATTCTTTTAACTAAGCTCTGCTTTTTTCACACAATATCAAATGCAACTCCAATATAGGTGCTCCTCCGCTTTTCCAACATTTCAATACGTCGTTTACAAAGGAATGCGTCAAGACTTTAAAAATTTCTTTAATAGGACAATGTATGCGTAAATGTGGAATAACTCATGTACTTGCTATGTCACATTCAGTCAAAAATGGAGAAATACTTGAAACACCCCCAAATCTCTACTAAGGGACAAAAGAACCCTACCCTTAGTTTTGTTTTAATAATCAATTGACTATAACCTCTTTTTTTTATTCGAAATATATTTCTTGTCATTGGAAACAATGTAGTTTTTATTTAGAAATTAAATAATTCAGAACAATAATTATGAATAATAATAATAATTCTATAGTTTTCACTTTGATCAGTGTTCATATAAAGGTATATTTTAATTTTCTCTTGTATGAATTTTGTATTAATTGTAATTAATATTTAAAATATTTCAAACATTTTCGTTAGAGTCACTAAGTTGACATTGAGTTGTTTCAATTTTATTGTCATTTTCTATTTCTTGCACTGTATCTTTATGACTTGTTTCGAGTTCCAGACTCCTGAAAATATTAAAGACATATATGTTTATGTAATTTATTAATAATTTATAAAAAAATTGTTCTCAAAATAAAATAATTATACTTAATCAAAATTATTGATAATTACTCAAAATCAAAATGGAAACTCCTCTCGGCGTAGTCATTATTTTCTGGTGAACCAGAAATGCAATTAATGTATTGCTGCTCACTCCAAAACTTAGGATTCTTAAAATACAAAGAAATGTTCAAGTCATATCATTTATTTTTTACAATAATCTTATCACAGTATATACTTACTATTATTTCAATTTCATCTTGTAATCCACTTAATTGATAGTACAAAGTTATTGGTACTAGTTATTGGTACCGATTGGCATCGGTCGTGAGATGGCTCGTTTGATTTTGGTGGACAATTTGTGTATGCGACGTGTCAACGCTCGGCTTGTTC